CGGTAGTAAATTACTAGAATGAATATTCTAGTTACAATACTTTTGGGCAAGGCGGGCATGTAATATATTGTACACGGGGAGAAAATAGAAAACCTAAAGGAAATAGGTTATATACGGATTTGATCCCAAAAAGTCGCAACAACATTTCAAATTGATCCTTTAAGTTTATTTAATTCCAAAATTCGTCGTTAAAATTTCTAAACAATTCTAATGTATGTGAGATTAACGTAAAAATCCATGTGCGCACTGTTAATGCCGCCGTTGTTTACTAGCAAAACGTTTAGTTCCATCACTATGAAATCCTGAATCATGTTTGAAAAATGATTGGAAAAGCAAAGAAATCCATTTGGCCCCCAATTGATTTTACGCCGAATTCAAAATTGATTGGCACCACAAAATTTATTTAATGCACTACATTATAATCACACTACAATTAAAATTTAGTTTTAACAGATACACAACAACAAATTTATAAATATACTCCCAATCAGATAAATATTATAAATGAAAAAAATTATTGTGGTGTATTTATCATCTCAATATTACTCCTTCTTTTTCTCATCCTTTCAACACATTTTGAAAATTTTTATTATGCTGAAAGCCTGAAAAGAGTTTCTGAAACTATTAGGGGATGTTCTATTTGTGTTTTGAGTTTTGAATTTATTTTGAATTTTATGTTTTGAGTGTCCATTTTAAAATTGTTGAAAATGTGAACTTTTTGGCATTTTGAAAAATTGTTTTGAAACCACCCAAAATGCGTTTTGAAAATTTTGATTTGATTATAACTGAAAACACTCAAAACAACAAATTGTCGTTTTGAGTTTTCTTTGTAAGTTTTTAACTTATTTTTAAAAACGCGTTTTTGAAAATAGGAAAGAGAACGAGTTTTCACTGTTTTGAAAAATCGAAAACAGAAAACGGTTTGAAAATGGTAAAGAGAACAAACCCTATTTTCTTAATTATTTTTTGTAGCATAATGCAGTTATTCAATTTGATTTTGAACTCCATAGTCGACCAAAAAAGCCCACGGGGTTTCTTGGCAAGTAGAACATAATACCATCAAGAAAATAATATATATATGTCTCACCAACCCCGGCCATTGCCAACGACACTTGACTGTTTGTACTTGGCAATAGCAATTTCCATCAAAAGTTAGATTTCTCACCCAAAGCCAAAGCGAGAGTTCTTCACCATATATACAACAACACACAGCGCCAACACATAGATCTCTTCCATCTCCTGTTGTGCCAAACCTCTGTTTGATATAAAATGGCCGCCATCTCAGCCGCTTTGAGCTACCTTTTTGTAGAATGAGAATGAAAAATATAGCCGTTATTGGAGTTCACACAAGAGATAGAAAATTTGAATTTAAATGTTGATGTGATGGATAACGGTCATATTTTTCATTTTAATGAAATAAAAAGATGGTCAAATGGGGGCTTAAGACTATTTAAGTAAATATTAAAAATAGCGATGCACTTAATAAATTTTGTAGCGATAATACAGTTATTCAATTTGATTTTGAACTCCATAGTCGACCAAAACAGCCCACGGGGTTTCTAAGCAAGAGTAGAACATAATACCATTAAGAATATAATATACATGTAAGATTCTATAGAGTGATCAGATTGGCCACACAAATAAATGAGAAAAGCTAAATGTATACGGGAGTTGACACTATGTCTCACCAACCCCGGCCATTGCCAACAACACTTAACTTTTTGTACTTGGCAATAGCAATTTCCATCAAAAGTTTGATTTCTCACCCAAAGCCAAAGCGAGAGTTCTTCACTATATATATACAACAACACACAGCGCCAACACATAGATCTCTTCCATTTCCTATTGTGCCAATCCTCTGTTTGATATAAAATGGCCGCCATCTCAGCCGTCGTCGCCCCCAATTTCCTCCTCCTCAAATCCACCACACAAATCGCCGCCTTTCCAACTACCCTCTCTCGCTCATTTACCGACGCCACCATTGTCAACAAGCGCATCACCTGCTCATCCACCACCCTTCAAACTCCGGCAGCCTCCACCACTTCCACAGATCGCGTGTTTAACTTTGCTGCTGGTCCCGCCATCCTTCCTGAGAACGTCCTGCTCAAGGCCCAATCGGAGCTCTACAACTGGCATGGATCTGGCATGTCTGTCATGGAGATGAGCCATCGCGGTAAAGAATTTCTCTCCATCATTCAGAAGGCCGAGTCAGATCTCCGGACCTTGCTAAACATTCCGGAGAATTACTCCGTTCTCTTCCTCCAAGGTGGCGCCACCACCCAATTCTCTGCCGTCCCTCTCAATCTCTGCAACCCCGATGACCCCGTCGATTACATCGTCACGGGCTCGTGGGGAGACAAGGCCTTCAAAGAAGCCTCCAAATACTGCAAGCCCAAGACCATTTGGAGCGGGAAATCAGAGAAATACGTCAATATCCCCAGCTTTGGCGCCCTTGAGCAAACGCCTGAAGCCAAATACTTGCACATCTGCGCTAACGAAACCATTCACGGGGTCGAATTCAAGGATTATCCAGTTCCGACTAATGTAAATTCGTTGCTTGTAGCTGATATGTCATCCAATTTTTGCTCCAAACCAGTGGATGTGAGTAAATTTGGGGTGATCTACGCTGGAGCCCAGAAAAATGTTGGTCCATCTGGGGTTACAATTGTGATACTAAGATCGGATTTGATTGGAAATGCACAACCAAATACTCCTATAATGCTAGATTACAAGATCCACGCCGAGAATAATTCACTTTACAATACGCCCCCTTGCTTCGGTATTTATATGTGTGGGCTGGTGTTCGAGGATCTCATTGCTCAGGGTGGATTGAACGAGGTGGAGAAGAAGAATGTGAAGAAGGCACAGATTTTGTATGACACCATTGACGGAAGCAAAGGGTTCTTTAGGTGTCCGGTGGAAAAGAGTGTGAGGTCATTGATGAATGTGCCATTTACTTTGGCTAAGCCGGAGTTGGAAGCTGAGTTTGTGAAGGAAGCAGCCAAGGAGAAGATGACGCAGTTGAAGGGGCACAGGTCGGTTGGCGGCATGAGAGCTTCAATATACAATGCTATGCCTTTGGCTGGGGTCGAGACGTTGGTCGCATTCATGAAGGACTTCCAGGCAAGGCACGATATTTAGGAATTGAATTGGATTGGAGAATTCTGTTTTGATGAGTTTATTGTATGCTTGTTCGATTTTGCCTGCTATCTTGTTTGTTCCTCTTATTGTCCTTATTAGTAATGTTGTTTCAAGTTCTTGTTTAGACTGTGGCTTGTTAGTCATTTTTTTTGAATGTCCACTATGAAAATGAATGTTGTCACTTGCTGAAGTTTACCAATGAAAGAATAAATAGAGATGTTATCAAGTTCATTTGGTTCATAGTTTACTTCCCGAGTATCCTGGTGCGCGCGCGCATGCGCATTTGTGTACATGGTTGTTTGACATTTGGTCCTAAAACATAGTAGATTCTCGGGTCATATTCTAGGTGATAAAAGGGCTTGATTGCGTCTCTTCTATTAGTTATAGCTTCAGCGCATCTTTCCTACGTCAACCAGCCTCCAAAGATTTGCCCTCGGGAAAGGCTGCTCGGGAATACATCATCTCCTTCCTCAACCAGCCTCCAAAGATTTGCCCTATACTAGGTAGGAAGCAACTAGTAATTTTTGTTTACAGCTCGTGCGGACAAAAAATGAAGATGTTAAGAATTACAAGGAATCAATCAAGGGTATATGTAATAATCATCCACCTACTCACCAACCTTGCCATTACACTACAGAAAATGACCTCTCTGATTATCTTTTTCAGGTCTGAAACTTCCATATTTCAAATACTGAATTTAGAGGTCCCTCGTTTTAATATAAAAATGACCTCTTTTCATCAGACCCTCGATGATAGCTCTGCTGGAATTAATAGTCTTTGTAGTGATAAAATCATGAAATTCCAGCCATGTTATTTACATGTTTTGGTCCATCTATAAGACGAAAGATGATAGATGATTAAATGAAGTCATGAAGCATTAGCCTGCAAAACGAAATTAATAAATAAGAAGCAGCTAAGACAAAAGGGAATGAGGCAGAAAAACAAAGATGGAGATTTTGAGTGAGTTATACATGGAAACTTACATCACCCTGAGTTGGGTCAAGGCAACCTTACATAAGTCTACCTGACTGATGTTCTATCTCTGTAAACCTTTGCTGCTTGCTTCAAGAAACTAATGGGAGGCAAAGGGATATGATTGGCAGCGAGTACAGGAAAGACCCACTCAATGACCTCCTGGAGAATTGGCTGGCTCATGGTACTTCTTACTGTTTGTTGTTGGAGTTCAGAGAGAAAGAGGAGTATGTGAAGTCGAGGTTCCATCATTTATGTATGTACGGACAAATTTCTACGGACAAATGCAAATATGTAATTACCTCCAACTCCAAACAAGAGTAGAAGAGATTGGAGGCTAATGACTTTTTTTCGCCATGGTCGAGCTGAAACGATAATACGCCTTCATTTTCATCATTTTCTATTATAATCACGTGTCGCCAAATTCCATTCACCAGCAATTATGGACTTATATTCATTCCTCAAACTCCAAATTGATCAAAGGTTTTGGTTAAGATTCAACTACTTTCATGTTAGTTAGGCCGACTATTAAGGTTCATGCCTTGTGCAGTAAATTATTGATTTGGCTCCTAAATCTTTAACAAACAATTAAACAAATGTTGTAATTAGCATGAAAGCGAAGCCAAAAGCCAATAGAGAGATTCAGAATTCTGCAGGAAACAAATGGCAGAACAATTTTATTTTCCCAGATTTATTTCTTTTCCCCAGCTTCTAGTAAGCGAATCAGTACCAGCGAAAATGGGAATAATTCAATTGCAGTGAGCAAAATGTTAAAACAAAAACTAGAGCAATTCAAATTTTTTTGGAAAAGAATAGACAGCAGGTGGATCTTTGGTGCTGCCGAACGACTGCTATAAAAAAAGTGAAGTAAAACGTGTTACTGTCCATCAGTCTAGAGCTGCTATAACTGCATCAACAACTTGTTGAGTGGTGCTATCTCCACCAAGGTCTTTCGTCCGGTATTTTCCATCTGCAATAACATGTTTTACTGCAGTCTCTAAACGATCAGCAAATGATGGAAATTGGAGATGTCTCAGCATCATAGCAGAGGAGAGAAGAAGAGCAATTGGGTTTGCTCTCTTTCGCTCCACCAAATTTGTGTTTCCCACATTCCCAGCCGAAGCACCTTGCTCAAAAACAGCATAACCAGCCCCAGCATTCCCTGCAAAAACCATGTCCTTTGGTATCACACAATAATAGACCTTCATGAATACAAAACAATGTTCATGGGATTTTTGGGCACCTAACACTCTTCCCCAACAACCCAAAGTGTTGGGGGAATTAGAACTATCTCAAAAGTAGATGATACCTCTTGCCTTGCCGAAGATACCGAATACCCAGAGAGTACTTGAGTTGATATCAGGAAGAGTCAATCTATCAAGCCCAGAGTTGAGTTTTGCAATGATATCAACTTTGAGCAGATAGCTACAATTAATTTATCACTATCCTTTCATCTTTGCCCCCAACACAAACCTAAAAATTGAAAAGCACATCCATTGTTCTGAAAGTAGTAATGTCATAATAATTTTGAATTCAACTTTCCAACACTCCACTCTTCAAGATCTTCAGATTTCTTTCGTGAACAAATTCTAGCCCATTCCCTCGTCCTCTTTCACACACGTCTGAAAACCAAACGTGAAGACCCACTTGGTCCTTGGTGTTTAAGAGTCATAATAGTAATGAAACCCTATAAATTGGACTTCACTGTGTACACACAACGCACTGTGAAAGGAAATCATAAAACGGAGTGTTTGTTTTCAATGAGATCCCTTGATCCCAGGAGGATATGTTTCTCACAACACTTACGGAAGTGCGCAAGGACAAGGAAAAATATAATTATGTTGTGTGCTTAATGGCAGTCGTGTCTGGGGGCGGCTTTAGGGGTCTACAGCCCCCCACCTAAATGTGGGGAAAAAAATTTCATGTTTATTTTTCCTTTTTATATAGTAGAACAACCCAAAATATGATTTAGCACACCCCAATACAGTTTTCTATCTCCAACCCTGGACAGGGTGCTATGTTACATATACGTGATCATCATTCAAAAAAGTAGAGAACAGAGATGTCAACTTAAATTCTATAAAAATTTTATATATTATATTTCTTTTTTATACTTTTTAATATAGGAAACGTCACATGCCATATGGGATTCTTACTCGAGGATTGTCCATATAGTATCCCTTTAGTGTTAGAAATTTAAAGAACATATAGAAAATTGGACACGGCATGTGACTTATCAGACATATTTCGTGAAGTGTCCAAGGATTTTCCGTGTACAACATGTCAATGTACTGTTGAACACTGATACACGGACTAATAGAAGTGTCCATGCATTATAGTATGGTGTAATGCAAGGACCTTAGAGACAACCTATCCATTGTGTTAAAGGCTGCACGTGCTCTCTTTGGCGCACAACTCTCATTTACTTATGAATGAAGATAAAATTGCATTAGTAACTGTAAAATTGCATTAGTAACTGATTACTCTTGGATGCTTTGCTCTCGGTCTTTAGGTGTAGAGGACATGTCCTCTTCTATTTGCACTCTCCCCACTACAAGTTATTTTTTACTATCAGAACAAAAGAAAGAGAAAAAGTATGGTCCAAGAAATGAAAAGATTCTTCCTATTGTATTCCTAAATCAGTATACATATTCCCTGAAATTCAAGAAGGCCCCCCCCCAACACCACAGCAAATTAGTGGAAAGGAAGACAAAAGGACTAGGTACAAACCATCCTGTAATGGCAGCACTAACTTTTCAAAAACACGACCTTCCTATTCAGTTCCATAACCAATTGCAAATACATTTTGATGAAGAAGTCCAGGATAAACTCTACTATTCTATTTGCCTAGCAAAACAGAAGGGACGAAAACAACTAACTACTGAACATAGAATGACAGTCCTTTTTTCAAAACCACGACCTTACAGTTATTAGCCTAGCATGAGTGAGCCTACTTTGAACAATATCGTGCCATCTTTCTTTAGGCAGTGGCACCAGTCATGTGAAAAGACAGAATCCCAATGTACAGCTATTCCTCTAGTTGTTGAGTGTCTCTTTAATTGATCAATCTGTATTTTCCAAATCCACATAACTAATGGAATCCAAATGGTTTCAGGATTGATAAGAAGACATTCAGTAGGCTAGAACCCATTAACTTGAGCAAAACTATATCTTGAATGTTTGATGATACATCACATTCCCTTATTACATATTAAATGATAGCCTCAAAAAGATGATCGATTAAAGATATTAACTTACAATTAATGAGACTCAGACATTCCGCTTTCAAAGTATTACAGAAATTGCAAGTGAGTACCAAAACTCGAAGAAAACAACAGAGTGGTATTTGGTATATCATATACGATAGCTTAACAAGAATGTTAAGCCAAGTTTTCAGGCAGTTAATTCTAAGTTACCTAGCATGTGCATTATAACAGTTCGTGGAAAGGCAGCGGAAAAGGCAATGGAAAGACTTTCCATTACCTATAATAAAATGTGCCAGAGCAAGTGGAGCCTTCTTTAGCCTACGCAATTGCTGAAATTTTAAGACTCTAATCGTTCAATTGTATGTACTAAATGATAAGAATTCTGCAAAAGTATACCAATTTTCATGCAAAATGTTGGTTTACACTTTCCCATTTCAAAGTTATATTCCTAGCAAAGATTAAATTTAGGAATTTAGAGTTCCAAATTATCCCAAGGCATCCATGAATTAATTTCATTAGGTTTCTATTTTCCAACAAAAGATGGATATAGGTAGCAGATAGTTCAAAGTAGGATCATTTAAACAACTTTACCTCCAGGCATAACTCCAGTGCCACCAGCTATACCAGCAGCTGTATTTGCAACCAGATTGCCATAGAGATTTGGTGTCACCTAGGAACAAATGCACGTGTTAGAAACTTTTCTTTTTGTTTTAAATATAATCACATAAAAAAAAATGGCAAAGAGCAGAAAGTTCAATTGTAATGATTGCCAGCAAAGTAATGCAGAAGCAATGACATGGTAATGTTTCCAAAAGCACCTAAAACACCACTTGTATGATTGTGTATTGTTGCTAATAACTTCATAATTAAGTTTTTTGCTATCTCTACCCCCACCAAAAAAATTCTCCAAGTTTCTCTGGGGCGTATGCGAGTTTACATAGATATCTTAGGTGATTTATCAGAACTTTGGTTCCACATGAACGATACCAGATGCACGATTCACTACTTTGGTGCATCAGCAAACACTATATGAGACAAACACTAGTGGATAATAATATGCTAAAAGCTCCCCCGCCCAAAAAATAACCACAAATAAATCATATGCTTAAATATATGAATGTGTGCGCATAAATTATCCTTATGCCCCGCTCTTTTAATGAAATTGACTTCTATACCCTTGTCAATTAAAGAACAATACTCCCTCTGTCCACAAAGGATATCAGGGTTTCTATCGGGCTCTAACAGCAGAAGAATGATAACTCTATACGCTTCCTGGTGGTGGGAGGAAAAGGCTCGACTCTCATGGGCCTCTTTTGCTCCACGGTTCATTATAAATGCGTAAAGAAGTTTTTTAGTTAAGACTCAAGACTATTGAGATAGTTAAATTTTTATTAACCAACAATCACTGTAAATCTTCTTCCCAGGATTGACAATAAGCTGTCTAACCATTTGTAAGCATGGCAACATTTTAAGAAAAGTCTAAAAGCACCAGCAAAAAACAGAGAGAGATTCAAGTCACATACCATGACATCAAATTGCTCAGGCTTGGAAACCAGTTGCATGCAGCAGTTATCCACAATAATCTCATTGTACTTGATCCCAGGATATTTTGTGGCAACCTCTCGACAAGATTCTAAGAATAAACCATCGGCGAGCTTCATGATATTGGCTTTGTGCACAGCCGTCACTTTCTTTCTGCCGTTTAAATAAGCATACTCAAAAGCATATTTTGCAATGCGCTCAGAACAAAACTTTGTTATCACCTACAAAAGACCCAACATAAAAAAAAATGAACTTCTCAGCTAATGCACAGTAGAACATATATGTCATCACATTGTCAAGGAAGAGAAAACGTTAAGAAAGAGAATATAACATAAACATTGAGTAACAAGTCATGCCAAAAGCTTCTATTTTTATTTATGTCCATTTCTGATTATTCCATCAAGTCACCAATTCCAATAACAGCCAAGTTCCAATCAATAGAATCTAATTCACATGACAATTAACTATCACAACAGATATCAACGTAGAAAAAAGCTTAAGATATTCAGTTATTTCCATTCGAACTTATTCACATATTTTTGCTTTGCGTATTTGAACAGATCAATAATCCTCTAAAATCCATCTATCAACTTCATTTTGGATCTCATATATAACACCATTCTTTGCATTCATAATTGGTATAATAAATTCAAGCAAGTTTTTCTATCTCACAGAAGTAACCAGATAATGAAATCAACCCAAATTACAAAATCCTTAGAAATCACAAACAAATTTAAAATTAGACTATTGCCTTGAGGCTTTCGACAACACCAGGAACCACCTCATGCTCTAGTCCCGAGTATTCCCCTTCAGTATTCTCCCGAATAACTACTATATCAACATTCTCGTGGCGCGTTGGGAGCCCTGGTAGATTAAAGCAATTGACGAGGGACGCGTAAAGATCGAGCTCTTTCCTGAGCTGCATATTAAGAGAGCTCACGCCACCACCTACAGGGGTCATGAGGCCGCCCTTCAAGCAAACCTTGTTCTTCCTGATGGAATCCAAAACTTCTTGGGGAACCTGCTTCATGTCGCCGTGCACCTCATACTTCTCGAAATGAACCGGCGCGTGCATAGCCTCCATCACCTGTTCAACGGCGCCAGTCACTAAGGGACCGATGCCATCGCCAGGAATAAGGGTAACGGGTCGGGGTGCCCCATCGCCTGGACGGGGCATGTAGGTTACGGATCTTTGGGAGGATAAGAGATGAGAGGTATTCGGGCGGTGAGTGATGAGCCGTTTTAGGATGGAGAAGGATCGACGGGACATCTTTCGGGTTTGTATGTGATCTGGGATTGGATCCAAGGGTTGTCTGTCAAATGTTGGGTGGCGATCGAACTAGTCAGAACTCAGAAACCCACCATAAATTTGCAGTGCAAGTGGGAGAGAGACGGTGGGAGAAGTCGAGAAAAGAAGAGGCGAAATATAGAAGAATTGTGCTACTTGTACATCAGGTCACGTGTGCATTATGTCACAAGGGTAATGTACCCATAGCAAGGCTCAATACAAAAATGCTGTTTGTACAGCCCGAGCTGTGAAGCTCGGGCTACAGCCTTCTCACAAAGCCGTGGGGCCCGTGATTATTTTAATTGCGAACCCCGCCCCTGAATGTGAGATGACTGTCAACCGTGCTGTGAGTCGAGCCGTGTGTGTAGCATTGTTCGGCGAAATAATTGTTGGTCTGTACGTAATTTTTTTACACGGGGTCATTTCCCTCACAATGGGTGGGACCCACAAAATGTGGGTGTGTGTATATATATATACATATATATACATTTTTTTTTTTTTTTTGAAATGTAGTTTATTAAGCATCGAAATAGCAAGCGGTTACTAGGAGGATAAACCTCCAACACAATGCCCTCCACGGAGAGTTTAAGTGCTACCAAAGCCTAAGTCTAAGCTACCACAATGGCCAAACAAGACCAAAAACCATACAAAAAAATACAACCAAACACGCCCCCAATCTGTGGGTATATACTTTTAAGTGACTTTTATGAATTTGTTAAGAGTTATTAAAATTCTTTCGTGGACTTTTGTTGAATTTGATTAAAAAATTTTAATTGAAAAATTACAATTTTTTTTTACTATCTGATGCTATAAAAAATCGTACATGTTGATTTTCAAGATTGACGATTGAGAATGAGCACGAACGAAGTCTTCTAGTACCTGAAACAAAGGCGTCGAGGTGTGTTCTCGTTGCTCATTCGATGCTTAAGTCAGAGAGAGAATTTATGAAAAGATATATGCTGAAAAAATATGTGAAAACATACATTGACAATGAATTGGAATTATGTATTTATAGAGGTAGGTGCTGCATTCCTAATAAGATTGTAATGTTGAGACCTCTAGGAGTACTAATATGATTGGTAGTTGCAACTCAATTGATTTGATATTACCCACATGTTTGAATATATACGAGATTCTTAGTGTTAGAGTCCTCTCAGGATGAGGAAACACATTTTCAGTAAGACTTTGCTTCCTAAGGCACAAGTCTTGACACGAAGTAGACTTCTAGCAAATTAGGGATTGCACGATTTGAGAGACATTGATTGTAAACTTTGAGAAGGAGCTATTAGGCCGTAGGTGGCCTACCCGAGGACACTAAGCCCCGAGGAGATCATCAAGATTGGGACAAAATCTACCCTAAACTCCTTGGGTTGAGTGATCGGGCGAGCTCATAAAAAATGGGTGTCATCACTATTAACATTTTTTAGAACTACACACACAAAAATTTCTTGGATAAAGTCACCGGTCATGTCTTAGTCATTTAATTTTGGCATAAATAAAATAATAAAAAACTTTTATATCAATTTTTAAGAACATAACCAAAAAAATTTCACGAAATTAACATAAATTCTAAGAACACAAATTGTTCTAACAAAAAAAAAAGGACCGATTACATGGAATTTTAATTTTAATATAGTGGAATTGATCTAATTAAGGTTCTCTTGTCACATTAGTAGAAAGTTTTTATGAGAGCAGGAGATAAGATTTGTTAATATAGACTGAAATTTCTATTTATTCATTTGAGAAAAAAAATGAAAGATCCATTGACTTATAGAAAGTTCCGGTATTCACATACAATCTACCATCGCCAAGTATGAGAAGTATGATTTTATTTAAATTACAAGTAGCTTGAGTCGAGAAATGATTGTGAACTAATGTGGCAAAAAGAACTTCTGACTTCTCCAAAATTACACAGAAATATGTTAAGAGTACTCGATTGATCATTGTACGCCTGAAATGGTGATATGGAATGTTATGTCTTACATTTAATACTATAATATTACACATTCTGCATGTATCCTACCAAGTGTTTAAATATACTCACTCTTTACTTTACAAATTTTATGTTAGTCTGGTTGCTGCTAAGGACATGACAACACCCTTGTCTCCCATTGAACCAGTTAGTTGATGGCTCTTCGACTATGGATGCTGCTCAATATCGAAAAGTTATTGGCTCTTTATATTATCTTTCTCTTACCCGTCCATATATCTCTTTCATCGTGTACATGTGTAGAATATTTTGAAAGAGTTGCACTGTATACCTACTACCCTTCCAACTATTTTCTGTGATAATGTTGGCGCTACATTATCTCAGGGCTAATCCCGTATTTACCTCAAAGATAAAGCACATTGCGATTGACTACAACTTTTTTTTTTTTGATCAGTTAAATAAATGTATTGATCAAAGATTTGAGTACAATTACTCTGGGCATCCCTCAGCTTACAGAATTAACATTACTGTTGAAGATATGAAAAGAATAATCTTTATAATATTTTCCATTATAATATTTCTTTTTAGTGTATGATTACTTTCCTTTGTAGTTGATTGTGTAATCTTTCCTTTTTCTTCACATGGTATCAGAGACGTTCCGGTCATAAACAAATTAACCCGTAAATTTCGTTTCTGGCGAGCCCGACCAATTTTTCTCTTTTCATTTGAATAAACACGATCCTAGTGCTGTTTTTTGGTTCCTGTGGGTTTGCTCTCATACTACATAATCCGGTCTCACCTCCACGTTGATCAGACTCCTCCATCTGATCTTCTTCTGTTATCGTATCATGTCCATCAATTTCATAATCTGATCATCGTCATCTTAGTCAACTTCGTCGTCAAAGGGGATTAAATTCAGTACAAGCCTCCCATTGGACCTATGCGCTTCAAAATACTCATGGCGCTTCACTTTTTCTTCTCAAATAATTAATCTCCCATCCCGTCTGCATCCAATTAAGTTAATGTTTTCCTTTTCCCGTTCATGTTTCTTTTAACGAAAGGAGGCTTTCAAACTCTGTTCTTATTTTTTTTTTAAAAAAAAAAAGACCCTTGCATTTACGCTTCTGTCAGACGTGTAGCGGAGCAGTTTCTGGTATTCAGGTGGGTTTGAGCAGTTTCGAGTTTTCTACTGGTTTACCTAGCAGTTTGGAAGTCCAGTTTCGACCAGTTTCTAGTTGGTAATCATTTGGTTCTTGCCTGGGTCCTTGATTCTTTCTGCCAGCTTGTGTTCTTTACATCTGCATGTATACATAGTGTATCTATTCCTGCTGGTTTCAAAAAAAAAAAAAAAAGTTTGAATTTTGATCTAGTCAACATCCATCCCCCTTTCACCGGATTTTCTGCCTTTGGTTTTCATGCATCCTAACACTTTGACTGGAGGGGGATGCCTTATCTCTCCTTTGTCTGTACGTGAAGTTCTAGGCTTGCACGTTACCTCCAGCTAGGGATTTGGGCTTTCAGGTCAGACTGCTATTTTGGGACTGGGCTGTGTGCTATACTCTTCTACACATGTTGAGTGGATCCTCTTTATTTGGGCCTTGTTATATTAGGTTTGTTATTTAATTGCTCTAATTTGATTGTGGTTTATTTTATATGGGCTGTGGACGTTGAGTTGAAGTCGTCAATCTTGCTCTTCAGTCGGTTATGAGATCCAAGTGCCTCCTAAGAAATTCAGCTCTCCCTAGCCCTTCCTCTGTTTCCATTTTGTCACATAAATTCCTCAACTGTTCGATGTCAAGTGACATACAAAGACCTTCCACATTATCATCAGAAATATCAAGCAAATGCTAGGACACGATAGCTCCAGAAAGTGTGCGAAGACAAGTCCTCTCTTTATGTAATAACTTTCTCTCTTATTCCACAACCGCACTCGACATAGTTTTAGATACCATAAATCTGCATGGAGAGATTTTAGCAGCAACTTTAGAAACCTTTCTCTATATACATGGATCTTCCTTTATGCTAGCCGTAGAATCTGTATGGTCCATATTTATTCTTCTTCTTTTCCTATTTATATAGAACACTATTGTAAAGATTAAATAACAGAAATAAAAACCAGAATAATTCAGCCATTCTTTTACTGTTGAACATGGTATCAGAGCATACCGATCCTCAACCCTCTGTTATCACAACCTAGCTGACCCTATACTTTCTCTTACCATCCATGGCCGACACTGGAAGCCTGGATAAACCAGAAGATACACCATCTGTCTCTATTCTTACTGAACTGACCAGTAGAATGACTGAAATTTTGAACAAAAATCAGTCCCCAACCCCGACTATTGAAACTTCCACTGCACCTATCGGCATCAAGTTGGATGGCACCAACTATGCTCTCTGGTCCCAAGTTGTAGAGATGTATATCTCCGACAAAGACAAGTTGGGATATATCAATGGTGATTTTCCTCAGCCACCTGAAACTGACCCATCATTCCGCAAATTGCGTATTGATAATGCCATTGTGAAAGGTTGGCTCATAAACCCGATGGATCCATCACTTATCAGCAATTTTATCAGATTTCCTACAGCAAAACTCGTTTGGGATTCAATTGCCACCACCTTTTTTGACGGAAGTGACACTTCACAAGTATACGACCTCCGACGACGTGTGACTCGACTCCGACAAGCTGGGGGTTCCCTGGAAAAATTTTACACTGATCTCCAAGGAATTTGGCGCGAGATCGATTTTCATCGTCCCAATCAGATGAAATGCCCAACAGACATTAAACTTTACAATACCATTCTTCAAGAAGACCGTGTGTATACATTCCTTGATGGACTTGATGACAAACTTGACAAAATTCGAGGTGATGTTCTCCAGTTGCAGCCATTTCCTACAGTTGAAGAAGCCTATGCTCATGTCCAGAGAGAAGCCATACGTCAGGAGGTGATGGGATCTAGCAACAGTGGACCTGTACCAGGGGCGGCCCTAGCCTCCAAAAGCCTCATGTTGGCGCCCTCCTCTACTGGATTGAATTTCCAAGCCAGCAACAAAGTCTCAAAAATTCGAGCTCCAACAGTTGGTGAGAAATGCTCCCATTGTGGTGGCACAAAACATAACCGTGAGAATTGCTTCCAACTGCATGGTTATCCTGACTGGTGGCATGATCTCCAGGCAAAGAAGTGACGAGATGGAGGACCAGGGAAGGTTGGAAGTGATGGAGGACAAGGAAGGGCTAGTGTTGCAACTGCTGAGTCCCATCTCTCACTTGCTCCACCAATTGACCCATCCCATGCCACTGCCTATCTATCTGACCCAGGTACTGTCAGTCATGGTTGCTTTAACTCTCACCAGGATAAAGACCATGGCACATGGTTGTTGGACTCGAGGGCCTCCGACCATATGACTTGGGATCCCATTGAATTTTCATCAACTTCCCCACCAAGACGTATGAGTATAGCAAATGCAAATCAAGTGATTTATCCAGTCACGGGTTCTGGCACAGTGACTTTATCACCTAATCTGAAACTATCAAATACCTTACTTGTCCCATCTTTATCTCACAAATTGTTATCTGTTAGTCAACTGACCACGGAGATAAATTGTGTTGTACTTATTTATTCTACATTTTGTCTGATTCAGGATATTCTCACGAAGGAGATCATTGGGCGTGGTACTAGGAAGGGGGACTTATACTACATGGATGATTTCAGTACTGGCCATGCACATCACATGACTCATCCTACTAACAATAAAGAGAGACAAATTTGGCTGTGGCATCGTCGTTTGGGACATCCATCCATTCCGTATATGAAACATTTGTTTCCTGGTCTATTTTTACATTTGCAAACAAATGATTTAAAGTGTAATACCTGCATCTTAGCCAAAAGTCATCGAACATCGTTTCCAGTAAGCCATAACAAATGTACTGTTCCTTTTGCTTTAATTCATTCCGATATCTGGGGTCCATCTCCAATTTCTACTATTTCTGGCATCCGATGGTTTGTTATATTTGTGGATGATTGCACACGAATGACATGGCTCTATTTATTGCGACATAAGGATGAAGTGCTAAGCGTGTTCCAAACTTTCCATGTTATGGTTCAAACTCAATTCTCAAGAAAGATTCAAACTCTTCGTTCTGACAATGGCGGGGAATACGTCACTCAACGATTTCAGACGTACTTTCAGCAACATGGTCTACTCCATGAGACCTCATGTCCACAAACCCCTCAGCAAAATGGAATCGCTGAGTGAAAAAATAGACACATCCTTGAAACGGCACGAGCACTCCTACTTGAAGCTCATGTGCCCCATCAACACAGGGGCGATGCAGTTGCTACAGCTGTACACTTAATCGTATGCCATCACGAGTCTTGAATTTCAAAACTCCACTCCAGGCTCTGTCAACCTTTGTCAACCTACCCACCATGTTAAAGATTCCTCCGAAGGTCTTTGGCTGCGTGGCCTATGTCCATCTTCACAAGAACCAACGCACAAAACTTGACTCATTCGCTGTTCGATGCCTTTTCTTGGGATATGGCCTCCATCAGAAAGGCTACCGATGTTATGATCCTACCACCAAACGAAGCTATGTGACCATGGATGTCACATTTCTGGAATCTGATACATTTTACTCCTCCCCAATATCCAATTCTTCCCTTCAGGTGGAGACTCGTGGAGAAGAGCCGAATTGGTTACGACTAGATTGGGCGGACACTCGAGAAGGTGAAGTCCCAATCAGTAAAGAGTTAAAAGTGCCCTCAGAAGAAGAGACATCCCCAAGAGAAGAGCCAAGCAAAGAGCTTCCGACATTCGAAACTGAAATTGAAGTCCCCCACTCCTCAGTACCAGACCCACCTCCTGAGAATACTCCTGAGGTAAGCATTCCTACCACTATACCATTTGATAATATGGATACATCTACTGGGTATAACTTACCTTTCAGGCACAATCGGGGTAAGCCACCAAATAGATATTCACCAGATATTGAGGAAAGGAGGACGAGATATCCAATCACTAACTATACATCCACTGAGAAGCTACCTGAACGTCTCAAGCTATTTACACATACACTATCTACGTGCCATATCCCTACCAATGTTCAGGAAACCTTAACAGATCCAAATTGGACCCAGGCTATACAAGAAGAAATGGAAGCACTAATGAAGAACAAAACATGGAATTTAGTACCACTGCCTAAAGGAAAGAAGACATTAGGGTGTAAATGGGTGTTTTCAATCAAACACAAGGCGGATGGATCTGTAGAACGATACAAGGCGAGACTAGTAGCAAAAGGTTATACACAAACATATGGAGTGGACTATCAAGAAACCTTTTCTCCAGTGGCTAAGTTAAATACGGTTAGAGTTTTGTTATCTCTTGCAGCAAATCTTGATTGGCCCTTGCACCAATTCGATGTGAAGAATGCCTTTCTCCATGGCAATCTCGAGGAGAAAGTCTATATGGATATCCCACCAAGCTATACGACATCTTCAAAGATGGAGGTGGTATGTAGACTAGAGCGAGCTTTGTATGGACTAAAGCAGTCACCTCGAGCTTGGTTTGGACGCTTCAGTGTAGCTATGAAAAAGTATGGCTTCCAACAGAGCAATTCCGACCATACGCTGTTCCTAAAACATCGACAAAGCAAAATAACCGCTCTAATAGTCTATGTAGATGATATGATCATCACAGGGAATGACTTGGAAGAAATATCTCAACTTCAAAAACAACTGGCAACTGAATTCGAAATGAAGAATCTGGGAGGACTGAAATATTTTTTGGGAATAGAAGTTGCAAGATCACAACAGGGAATATTTTTATGTCAACGGAAATATATTCTAGACCTACTATCAGAAGTAGGATTATTGGAGTGCAAGCCTGCAGACACTCCAATTGCTCAAAATCACAACCTTGGAGCGTATCCAGACCAGACACCAACAGACAAAGGGAGATACCAAAGACTTGTGGGTAAACTTATCTATCTATCTCATACTCGCCCAGATATTGCTTATGCTGTAAGTGTAGTAAGTCAGTTCATGCATTGTCCAAGTGAGGATCATATGGATGCGGTAATTCAAGTACTTCGATATTTGAAATCATCACCAGGGAAAGGTCTCATGTTTTTCAAGAATGACCACCTAAGAGTTGATGGTTATACGGACGCAGATTGGGCAGGGAATATAAAGGATCGAAAGTCCACTTCAGGCTACTTCACCTTTGTTGGAGGGAACCTAGTTACGTGGAGAAGCAAAAAACAAAAGGTGGTTGCATTGTCAAGTGCTGAAGCTGAATTTCGAGGAATGGCTAAAGGACTTTGTGAACTCCTTTGGCTCAAGAAGCTACTAACCGAGATCGGGTTTGGACCTACATCTGAGATGAATCTATTCTGCAATAATAAAGCGGCAATTGCTATCTCTCAGAATCCCATCCAACGTGATCGTACCAAACATGTGGAGATAGATCGACATTTCATCAAACAAAATCTCGAAGGAAAAATCATCAAATTCCCATTTGTTAAGTCAGAAGATCAGTTGGCGGACATCCTCACAAAAGCAGTTTCACGTAGAGATTTCTACAACTCACTAGATAAGCTACACATTCGAGATCCGTATGCATCAGCTTGAGGGGGAGTGTTGGCGTGAGCTGTATCAAAATCATACCATAAATCTGCATGGAGAGATTTTAGCAGCAACTTTAGAAACCTTTCTCTATATACATGGATCTTCCTTTATGCTAGCCGTAGAATCTGTATGGTCCATATTTATTCTTCTTCTTTTCCTATTTATATAGAACACTATTGTAAAGATTAAATAACAGAAATAAAAACCAGAATAATTCAGCCATTCTTTTACTGTTGAACAATTCCTTCAACTTTTTCTGGTTTAAAGCAGCTTCAGCAGCCTTTTTGGTTTAAGGCTTGCTGTCGCTTTAGGTTATGAAAAAAAAAAATCATTTTTTGGTTACTGTTTTGGGACTGCTATTATGCGTGGGCTACTTTGGTCAGCCTTGTTTGGTGTCTCTTCATCACTTCCATCAGAATCTTCATCAGAGTCGGATTCATCAGATTCTCCATTGGGAACTTCGTTTAGATCTGAATTTTACTCAGTTTCAACAGCTGATGTTCATTCCCGCTGCTCCCTAATTTTACTCAGTTTTAC